CCATTCTCTGATTCTGTGATCTATAAAGTTAAGAAATTGAATCTTTGTTCAAGTGTTCAACTCCTACATCTGGATGTAGTGGGTGCATATTACCCTGTAAGCACGTGCCTTCAGGCCCAGAAACAACACAAAGGACCTGGCAAAATTAAGGAAAATGTAAAACTTCTGCCTGTAACAGCATCTGCAGGGTTGAGCCTAGTTTGGAGAGCAGGAGCTAGGCAGCCTGGAACAAGGAGTACAAGACTAGACTCCAAGCAAGGAGCCCTGCAGCCGGCCTGTTGCTGGGAACAACAACATCAGAAAAGATGTTATAAAGGTCAAGACGAGTTAGAAACAGAAAAGCTGTGATAACGATGTGGATTTTGGGGCAGGTCACTACTGGAGAAACATGGTACAAGGATGGAGGGATGTTAGATTAACTCCTGAAAGAGAATGGATATCAGAGAAGCCAGAATGGCCGAGCAAAAAGAACAAGGCTGAGCTGAGGCAGAGGACATGTGGACAGTGAGAGACAAAGCCTGGCTACAAAAGAAAATAAATCTACGATTACTGCAGGAGTGCTGCCAGGAAGAGTGGGGCTGAAACAATGAGGGAGGTGCCTTAAAGAAACAAGAATGAGTCCGTTTGGGAAATGGCAGAGAAGGACTCACCGCTAAATACAATTTTCCTTGGGAACTCAAGACTGTATCATGTCTGGTATTCCTCTACTGACAGAAAATATTTGTGAGAGTTTCACAAAGCTTATCTTAATTCCCTTCCTGTGCCAGATACCACTTTTAGCAAGCAAAAAGGACCATTTTGATGTCTATCTCTTTGTATCCTAATAAAGGCAGGAATTGCTGGCACTTCTCTGATGATGCAGCGAAGTGCAGACCAAGTCCCACAGCATTCGAAACAGCATTGCTTGCAGCTATCTAGTTCTCCCTTAGAAAAGCAAAATATTTTAATGAAACAATTTTCCAAAATTTAAAACCTGATGGCCAGTACAGACCTCTTGAAGTTTTAGACATAACATGGTAGGATTCAGTTTTACACAGATGTGACAGATGTTTTGCATGTATTATTAAATCCTTGTGATCTGCAAAGGTCACAAGCAGAGAGACTCAGGTATTGCAGTAATCTGAATTAAGATATAGAATTTCAGCAATTATAAGGGTAATAAATTGCCTACCTTTAAAGAAACTGGCTAAAAATAAATACTTTATAAAAACAAAACCAAAAGCAAGAAACAAGTACATTCCTGCATACAGGATATAATCATTTCCTTACAAAACTACCTATGGGTCTTATGTAATTCTTAGTCATAGTGTAACCTCAATGGCCTCTGAATTATAAGAGAATAGTTCTACCTAACCTTCACTAAACTATCTCTTTTTTCCCCAAGCTAAATGAGCTGCACCTTTTAATAGAACTTAATATCTCCCTCTACAGATGGTTTAAAAGTAAAATGAAATGCATTCTTTGAAAGATAATGTCCAATTTACTGTTGCTCAGGGTCCTGAATTTTGCTCCCGTTTCTGCCATCCTCTACGCTCTGCACTGAAAGGAGAGGCAGCCCTACAGGAAATATAGTTAAATGGATACAAGTAAAACGCTGACTATAAAGACACATGGTGCATCCTGAACATGCAAGTCTTGCATCTTACTGAGTTTGGGGTGCTTGCATTTACAAGTTTCTAAAGCCATGTTAAGATAACATGGCAAAAAATAATAAATTCTATTAAATATAATCCTTTAGGCTGGAATAGGACAATAAGGCCTTGATCTAAACAGTACAAAGCTTTGTACTTCTAGAAACTGGGAAAGTCCTGGCCTCACAATCCTGTCCTGCACTGGGTGCAGAAGGAAAGTCTAGCTGTGAAAGGCATTATTAGGTACCTAACCCAGCCCTTCAATTAAGGAGCAACTAATTCTATCCTTAAATGATATTAAAATAACTGATTAAGAAATATAGAAAAAAACAAAATATAAACCTGTAGACTTAGCCACAGCATTGACTAGTGTGTGCATAAAGGATTTACTAAATCATTAATCAAAACAGGCCTGAGGAAGCTGTGACTGTCAAATGAGACAGTCTCAGTCATGTACTGAGATCAGGAACATGATACAAGATGCATCTTTTGTCAGGAAGGAGTAAGAAAATACACATCCTGAGTATAAAGGGACTCAATAGCCCATAATAGTGAGGTGCTCCAAATTGCATCACCTAACAGCAGATTTATGAAATCAAATTGGAAAATAATCAGCTTTAGATATCACAGACTGCACTAGTCAAGCAAGTGTCCTGTAATATTGGGAAAGACTCAATACAGTGACTTCTCTAGACAGACTAAAAGTGATTATGAGGCAGAAATCATTAGTCACTGGATACCTTCTTCTGCTTTCTGCCATAAATCAAAACAAACAACCCAGTGCAACACAAACACTAACAAATTCACATTTCTAGTTAAAGAATTTCATCCTTAGCATGCTGGACTGTCAGTCTTAGATCTTCACTGCCCAGACAAAACATTGCAAGCATTTTCATGCAAGCTACGCTTTCTAATCTAAATTCTGGAAGTAACATTTTAGAAAAACAGTTTACTGAACTGAGTCGCATGAAGGGATATGTAGATCAATTCTGTAGACACCCGAGGTGTCAATGTAACGGTAAATAAAACGACCACAGCCCGCTGCCTGATGCTCAGGACAACAGGAACACGCTGCATGCTTGCCCAGCCTGAGGGACATACTTCCATTAAAAATAATTTTAAAAAGTAGGCCTTGCTAGGGCCCGATAAAGGTAAGGGCATACAATGCCTTAACAAAGCCTTTGTACAATTAACTGAAGCACAGTTAACTGAGCCACAGCTCCAGCTGGGGTTCCTGAAGAACCATCTATGCAGGAATGTCGGGCTGAGGTTGGGCAAACAGCCGCCCTTACCCGCTCCGAGCACAGGGCCAACTCTGCTCCGTGATAAGGCTAGGAATGGAATGATAAATCCAGGTGAAGATACAAGGCTAGCACATCATTGTTCCGGTAAATGAGAATCAAAAATCACCTACTGGACTTGGAATATGACTTTCTGTCAAACGCTCCATCACAGGCACACATGCATTAGGTGGTTAGGAGTTCACAGAGCTACAGCCTGTGGATGGCTAAACCTGACCAAATCTGCACCATCAAACCAAGCCTACAACCATTCGCTGAAATATGACCACTGTTAGAGACCAGGCAGTTGGCACAGGCACCTCCTGGATTACAGTGCTGTCAACATACATTCACCAACATCAGGCAACAGCAGCAATTAAGGACAACAATAGCAAACACAGTAAACACATTCTTTTCCCCCCACAGAGACCTCAAAGAAAATGACTCATTTATGCTTCTCCATTCTTTCAAGGTTGAAAAAAGCTTCAGTCAATATTTAAATGGCTATGGAGCCCACTGAACAACTCTGGTATTGTTTTTTTAGATATTATAAAACATTTAATAAAAATTCAGAGTACATACATACAATAAAACATGAACCAATTTAATTATCATTTTACATAAAATTATTAAAATTGTTTGGGAAAACATTTGGACTCTTAAGCGTAAGTCATTCACAGCACAGACTTCTTAGTGCAATACACCAGCTGACGGGAAAGACTGTGACTATCACTTTACCAACTGCATTGCTAGCTGCATGTAAAATAAATGATTTACTAAAAGAACAAAGTGATGCACGATACCTGTTGTCTTCGTTTCTCCTCTTCTATAGCAGCTTTGGCTTCAGCTTCTTTTATCTGTCCAGACAAAAAACAAGCAACTGTTGGAAACTACTAAATCTGTTTGCTCACCGAATCATAATTAGTTTTTATAGACAGGTTCTCAACAAAAGCAAGCAAAGCTTTTCAAGTGTGCTTTTATTATTTTAAGATCATAAAATATTCTGGGGAAAAAAAGCGCTATCATCTTATGCTTGCAAAAGATCAAGTACATAGTGGATAGTACCAGGTTATAAATTTGGCTTCTGACCAATTTTAAACCAACAAGCACAACCAACAAATTCAAAACCTGAAGAGAAGTGTTTGTTCACTAGTAGCCAGGAAATATGCTAGAGATAGTTACTCTAAATTGTCAGCATCTTAATCCTCAATTCAGAACCATTTATATACACAGGTAATACCTGCATATGTATGTAATTCATATATAAACACCCCTTATTTCGAGTGCTTTAAATACACCATGACTACTAAGGTAAAAGTAACTTGTATATTTGTACTGAATATGCTGTATTTTGGATAATGCAAATCCAAACTGCTTTATGACTCATGGGGTAATGCAAACTGTGAATGCAACAAAGGAGTCCATCAAGCAAAAATTGTAAGTATTAACCAGTCATACTTCTACGGAAGTGTTTTGCAGCATTCAAGAAACCAAATTAAATACTAAAAATGATTATGGAAAGAACAAAACAGAAAACATGTCAATATATAAACACAAGGTGTCCTTGAATCTAGGCTCCTACATTCAGTTTTGGTCCAGCAACATCAGAAAGATGTGGAGTTTAAACATACGCGGCACGGAGTGGCTTCTACCTAAAGAGAGCGTAATGTGGATTTGTCAAGTGAAAAGCAGGACATTAATGGGGCACAAAGTCCAGAAAGTTGAGAAGACTCTGAATAGGGATGAGTATTAAAAAAAAAGTTAAAAAAAATGATTTATAATTTGAAATTAAAAAAAAAAACTCAATCCCAATAATAACTTGTGTGTGTACATGTATAGATATGTTTTTATATGTGTATATATAGTATGTTTATCAGGACTTGCATACTATCAGTGACAAGCAGAGACTCCAGCTATGCTGTTAAACTGAATTTAGCGTGCTTAGTTGAAACTGTGTCCACTAAAGACAAGGCCAACAAAACAGCATCATACCTGCAGGTTTTACAATGGCTTTAAAAATTGTTAATGCTTTATTGTTTTTAATGAAGAATTTAATAGAATTAGACACAGTAAGGGAACCTTTTTTTAGAGTAACATACAAAAGATGTTTTCATCCATGCATATCTCATCTGTAGTTACAAAGTACCATGCAAAGCAGCTGCATAGCTAACTAGCCTCACGATATTTTACTGCCCTCTAATGGTACAACATCAGCTCCAAAAGAAAGGGAGCAAATCACAAATGTGGCATAAAGCAACAAAAAAGCATTTTACACTGACGCAGTTATAGTTATGCAAGTTTTACAGGAGGGAAATTCACCGCACATATAATCACAATGCTGAAAAATATTTCTCCAACTACTCTAATAATAAAATATACAGTTAAGACACTTGTGTTGCTCAAAAGTGCACACTCACTAGTTTTTATATATTGTTTCATGAGTTAACACTTTGCTTTTGCACATTGATAGTCATTTTGCTACAGCAAACTAAATTCTCTGTAAATGGCTGTAATTTTTAACAGATAGGGCAGTAAACTTATCATTTACTCTTCTAGTGCATCATTTTGAAGTCAACACAGACTACACAAAGCAGCTTAGTGAACATTTAAGTAGAACTTTACAACTTGAGATTAAAAAAAAAAAAAAACACCATTGCTCGATGCAGATCACAGCAGCAGGAGCAAGAAATAGGAAAGAGCAGTTACTTAAGTATTATAGTAACTTACAATGAGACAGCTGTAAAATAATCTAATGCAATCAGAAATGGGCAAATACTGCCAAAATAACTCATGATAAAACACAGGTGTTCTTCAGACAAACGAGTTCGTTCAACAAGATTGCTTGTTGCTACCTTAGGGGAATTCAGCCATTAGCACTTCCAGGTATAGCCCCACCAACACGTCCTCATCTGCCTCAGCTCCTGCAGGCCTTTAACTGCTTCACCTTCTTTTCCTGCACTGCACATCCCACAAACTTAACTCCACACTCACTGCTGCGGGGGTTTAGGGGCTGAAAACCCAAGAAGCTTAACAAGCTGAGCAACAGGCAAGACCGCAGGATTTTGTTTGTATGGTACTTGTTAGAACCTGCGTATCGATGCTGAGCAGAAGGATTCTTCTTCTGAGCAGAAGCAGACAGAAGTCAGTTTTACCCAAGGAGTTTCTGGGTACACATCACACTTCCTCAGTGAAAGCCAAGCAAAGCACATACCAATCTTGATTACGTCTTTATAAAAAGCTTATAAAAGCAAGATAGATATTCTGTCTCTCTCTCTGTGATGTGTTGCAATAATTTCTGTACTCCATAAAAGAGCAGACCTGGGCAGAGCTCACTTTTAAAGCAGGCTGCAATTGCTGAAAACACTCAATTCTCCTTCTTCAGGGTAACCCTTGCACTGCACTGGATCACACTGTCATGAGTGATCAAGCTGCTCAGTGCTCTGTGAAGTAACTGCCCTTATTCCTATGGCATCATTTTTACCATCATTGATCACTGCTTGTTCTCAAGTGGAAAAAACAGTTTTATCACACACCCGCATGTGCACACACATGTACATACAATTCAGGAATGTAACAGAGTATTTCATTAAATTAATTAGCACTGCAAACAAGGTTATTCTCACCAGCCTTATTTTTTGCACGTTAAACCAAACCAAGCAGTCTGAAGAGGCAGGTTCTATTAAACACACATCTACTTGATTATGTTGCATGTCTTGCTGATATTATCTTGAAAGAATAGTTTTGTCATTTTTTCCTGACGTGGGGAGAATAAGTTAAAATTGCAATAGCTGAATTACCTCCGATGCCTTTCGTTTCATTTCCTTGCATAATGCATCACATTCCAGTGAAACCTGGCCTTCTCGTATCTTGCTGCACTGTAATTCCTGTTAAATAGGGATATAAAGTCTTTCAAAATCCATTACTCTATACATAAAGTTTAGATTATAGAATCCATTTCATTATGAAAATTCTTATTTGCTGAAACACTGGTTATTCAGAAGATACAGGCAATTATTAAACAGTGGTCAAATCTTCAATTTTGTATCAACATTTGCCCATTTTATTTTCCTTCTTTCTGATCAGCTACATTGAAAGCAAGAATAAACAAAGGAGTCAAGTTTAATCCCTTCCTTTCCTTCTAGTTTCTCACTTGTTTACTTAAGACTAAGTAATACAGTTTTGTGGATTCTAGCATAAACAGCTAGCACACTCAGTCTCAGCAATTTCACACACATTATTTTCAACAGCCTACGGATCGACCGTACTGCCTGAGACCATGAGGCAGTATCTCCTCACGAAAAAAAGAAAAACACTCCACTCCTGCCTCTGCAATATTTTAAAGCTCGAAGAGTACAGCAAGGATTCTGTTGGGTAGGTATAGCTGCACAACACAAAACTACGTTGTGATTCTCCTTGTGATACTTGTCATTGTCCTGCATATCACTGACAGTATAAAAGCCAAGTTGCGAATTTTCATAATGCATACTAAAAGAAATCCATAAAATTTGCATGAAACATTAAAATCGAAAAAACAACCTACAATTAAGATTTTTCTAAACATGAATTTTAAGTATAGGTACACTTGAATAATACATTTCTGCTATGTCTAGTTTTCCTAAAAATCAAGTTATGTTAAAAACAACAGCTGACCAATGCAGAGATGGTTAAAAATGCAGTCTACTAGAAATTCCCAGACTTATAAACTCTAGTATTTTATCTGTCTGTACATTTTACATGCATAATTTCATGATGCAACACTATGACATTTAATTTAGAAGAAAAAAAACACATTTTTTTTCTAAATGCTAGAAAGGGAAAAGATTCATCTTCCATACTCCAAGCCATTCAATCACGTATTTGATACTAGTTGTGCTGGTTCAGCGACTCCTCTTACAACCATAAATTGCTTAAGAAGAACTGATATAGGACTCCAGAATTTATAGAATAAATTGCTTTAATCTAGAACACAGAGGACAGAAAAATGAGTCAAAGTGGAATAATGCAATAGCTAAAACTGCCCCAGTCAAGGCAGCACACAAATTTCTCTAGCAGACTGGGTGACAGGCCTATCTAACAAATCCAGGCAGCAACTAGTAAGGCTCCCTCTGGTAAACTGGGACTATTTCTTCAGCATCAAGATGGGATTTATTTACAGCACAGCATGGACTAGGTGCCCCATAAGCTACAAGCTTTACTGATATCATATATAAATAAAGTGTAAGAGTGTTTCTGCACAGAATTCAGTAGCAATTACTAGATATTAAAATAAGTTCCTTGTTTTCACAATCACAGACTTTGCAAGCAAAATACACATGGGAGGCTTAGAGATGCTGGAGACTGCACCTCTGAATAGATGCAGATGGGGGACCTCTGGAGAGAGCACGTACCCACTAGGACCACTGGCAAGGGCAGGTTCATATAAGGAAATCACTGCAAAATTGTTTAAAACTAAGATGATTTCATGACTGCTACTGAAACAAGGTCCATTTATCCACAGTCTATCCTGCCGTCATTTACCCTCTACAAATTTCGTTTTCTGTATGAGAAGGAGGAAGAATTTTGGTTTGACGTCCAGAAAATAGGCCAATATTTCAGGAACAGTTCTTTTTCCTCTATTCAAAAAAATAAGGAAAATCCCAGACTCTTATTTCCCTGGGAGTCAAATGGATCATTTTTTGATTATTTAAGAAGTGGGCTTGCTTCACATAAAATTTAAAGACCACTCATGGCAACCTCTCTTTGTCTTATTCTTTATGATCAAATTTTCTCTGTTTTTATAAAATGATAACAAACTTCAGATTTATAAGCAGATCTTTCAGAGCTGCAGGCTCCTGAAGATTCCAACTGGTCAAAAAATATCCTAAAAAAATGTATTTCATTCTTTCTTGGCAGCACTCCTGAACTGGAGAATCACAGAAGTCAAAAATACACCCCTTCATTTGGGGCAACAAAATCTGAACTGGTCTAAACATCAGTAGCTGCACAGTAAGATACAATTCAGCACTAGACTACAGAAGCGTAGGTGATAAGTATTTTTCAAAATGTTATGAAAGTTGGAGATATTAACAGCTAAACCTAAGTGAACTGTTACAAAAGCTTACAAATAGCTACTTCTTCCATCTGCAATTATGCTTGGCCTAAGACTTGGGAAAGTAGTTTTAAAAACAGGAAAGCAGAAGTCCAAATACACATTTAACCAATTGTTTTCTGGATTTTACAAGAGCAAAAGAAAGACTGAATCCAATGGGAACAGTTAGGCAGAGAATAAAATAAAATGCTGATGCCTCTAGTTGCTTTTAGATTTCCAGAAAATTGATTACATTAATAACCTAAGTTAGAACACTTTCCAACTTGTCAGGAAAAAAGAGAGGTTTTTTTCTTCTTAAATCACTCCAGATCATCTATCTAATCTTTCAATAGAGCTAGAAGGATTCGAGTGTGCTTGCAGATGTTAGCTGCCTTACAATAGCTCTGTATTTTAGAACTAATAGGATTTTATGTTCTACAGTGAGTCTTTTCATATTGCAGCCCAGATCTACAGCTGATGTGAACTGCTAAAGTCCTGCTGTACCTCTTCCAGTCCACACGAGAGAAAATCCAGTCACACAAGCCTAAAGGCAAACACACACAAACAAAACACAAAGATGCATCTCTCAAAACTCACTGAGAACTTACCTTTTTCAGCCTTTTACAGGGACATCGGAGCTTAACCTTCTGGTTGCAGTTCAGAGGACAGTCACCTGAATGGCAAATCTCTTTACATCGGTGACCACATGGCAACTACAGACAAGAAAAAAGTAAGAATCTATTAACTGGCTTTATTAAAGACACAAACAAAAAAATCCACATGGCTTATCAGTTTTCCACTTATGAAAGTGATTTTTGGTTTGGGGTTTTTTTTTTTTTTTGCACAGACATTTGACTGTTGTTCAAAGTACTTCATTTTCTGTAGAACCAGTTCCCCTTAAAGATTATATTTGCACAGCTTGATTAAAACCAATCTTGTTTTCAAAACATTTTCTGTAATAAACATAATCATTGCCTGGGAGGGCAGGGGAAGGTGACACACAAGTATATAGGTAGGAAGAAATTGGAAACAGAAATCAACTGATGAACTAAACTGTAGCTACTTATAGAGCAGAGAGCCAATAAAGAAAGACGGAATGACCAAAATTAGAAGTGCAAAAATACCACTCAAGGAACTCTTACATGTAAGAAAGTTCTGAACTATGCAAAAGCCAATTACAGGTTGCCAGTGTTCTTATGTCCCAATTAATTTCACAAAATCCCGACTTTCTGCGTTTTTTAAGTTATCCCGTTTCTAATAGTGGAGACAGACTACCTCGTTATAGACCAATATTAGTTTAACTTTATTTAAATAATGCTGACTGTTAGAAATACAGGACTGCTCCCAGCACTATAGTAGATACAAAATGGCACAGGAGCAAGTCACTTGAGTTTGTTAGAAACTTGACTTAGAGAGAAAAAAAAAAAAAAAAAAAAAAAAAACAAACACCAAAATCCTTAGTCATTCACATGCCTGTATAAAATCTTCACAATGACATTTCACTTCCTATTCCAAAATTTAATTTTGCTAATAACTGAAGATAGCGCCTTGCATAAGATATCCAATTGACTTATTTAAAAATGTAGTTCTAAATCCAAAACATTTTTATAAGATGGTATCAGTGTTCTTCACAAAAAACAAAATTTCAGTGGTTAAGTGTCATCAAGGAATTAATACAACTTGGAAAAACCTGTAAGGGATAATCAAGATATGCATTTTTCATAGATGTGTACATGCTACATCACTTCATTCACAAAAATGGAAATGCAACATAACACAATTATAAACCTCAAGTACATTTCTTGTGGATCAGCAAATTTTGATTCTTAGGAGTACAAATGAACCAGCTTTACTTAAAGACTTAAAGTCATGGAGCACACACCTAAAACAAACGTACAGCTCTGTCTAAAGAATATGCAACCATTAAACATGCTTTCATGTCAACTCAAATTCTATTATGATACTAATGTATTGACTAGTCCTCTATTCTGTGATTTGGGATCCAGTAGTTTCTTAATTGCTGTCACTGCAGTGAAACTGGAAGGAAACTAAGTCCTCAAGTTCAGACGCTCCTGCTACAGGGAGCTAACCTGTCCTGTGAGCCCTGTATGACTGGACCAGGCCTTACACTGAAAATGGACTTTTTTCCTCCCGTCTGCTGTTGGACCAGAGAGGCTGTTCCAAACTTTATGCCTTCAAGAGACAAGGCCTTTTCTCTAATTTCCTAAATCTATTCTAGACAGTCTAAACTCATTTGTTCTTATCCTCATATTGAAATATTTCTCGACTGTCCTTTCATAAAAGGCTCTTTATTCCCACAGTATTCCCTTCATTGAATTTCAACCAGCTTAAATCAATATTTCTTGTACACAGTAGCCAGAACTGCATACAATATCCCAAATGACATCTCAGCAGGACTTTGCACAATGCCTTAATTATACCTTATTCTTAATAGAATATCCTGCCCAATACATCTTCAGTTCTCATTTACATTTCTCTCCAGCTAATCACACCGTGACAAGAAGAATTTTTGCTGTCTCACACTACTATTAGTCTTTACATAAACAGCCTTCCATTTTTTCTGTATCTAATACCATCCCGTAATGGTTATCTGCTTCTGCACGTGGATTTCCTCAGTTGTTTTGTACTGACAATGCTCTTCAAGTTTTCATCAGAAAATGCCACGAGCACTCCTGATTTTTGGTGCCAAGGCCATTGCTGAAAACAATGCAAGATCAGTCCTCAATATAATCCTTGGGAAATTTTCTTAGTGTTAATGCTTCTTTCATCTAACTATTCATTTAAAGATAGGCATATACCTAAGAAACACAACAGATGGTTGCCTTAGTCATCTTTACTTGGACTAGCTAATTGCTGTGTGGCCATGTCTCAACAGCTCCACTGAAGTCTGATGTAGAAGATTTATTTTTTAACTGGGGAGAGGGGAAAGAAATTAGGCACCTTGCCAAAGAATTCTGGACTGGCACAACTGATCATCAAATGCATCTAGCTTGCATTTTATCTTATTTTGAAGACATGAGGAGAGAAACTTCTTGGAGCCTTGCGTTTGGTCAGGAACATGGAATGAATCCAACCTGATTCCCCCATAACAACTTCCATTCACAGGTGTAAGAGCTGGGGCTGTTCACTAGTGACCAGTGGCTCCCTTCTCCTACTCCCTGCTCAAGGGCATCAGGCACAATTGTAGCAATGTTCTAGTCTCATGTTAGAATCAATTTATCGCAACACGATCACACATTTCACATCTACACAGTCTCAAAAGTACTGTTATTTTGTCAAAAATTGCTAATTACACAGAAGAATGCAAGCAATAGAGAGATCCACAGATACTGACATGAACATACAAATGAACATAGAGCACGTGGAAATTTCTGTTTAAAATTTGTCCCTATCTGCAACCATGATAAGAATTTAATCACTACTGATTAAATAAGAAGTTAAATTTCCTTCAATGGGATATTTTGTTATTGCTACCAAACAAGAGAGCACGTCCCAGCTAACAGCTGTGGCAGTATTAAAGGCTTGCTGCTCCCTAAAGCAGAAAGGGAATGCAAGCTGCACTGTGTAATACTACAAGTCCTTTTGTTACTTTTACACTTAAAAAGCCAAAACAAAAGCAGGAAAGTTGGCAAGACTTTGAAGTTATTTCTTTAAGGCACCAGACAATAGAACTAAGCGATTTTCATTATCTCCAGAAGTAGAAATCTACTTGGAATTCAAATACGGTATTTTACTGTCTACTATAATTTCCATTAAAAAAAGAAAAGAGACAGATATCTCAAATCTAGGATCTCAGTAAATGCTATATTCTCTAGCATCTAAATCACATTATTCCAAACATTGTTACAGAGTTGCAGTCCACACTGATTTACAGCAAGCTACAATTTCACTGAGCTCTTCTGGTAATACAAGGTCAGTTTAACTTATCAATGACTCCTTTAACAGAGACTGTTTGGATAATCGGTTTTATGATACAGGTAGGTAATTTTCCCAAAGTTACAGACCAACATGAAACAATTTTAAAATTGACAGAGCATTCCTAGTATTATTCAATATTCACAGAAAAGTTAAAATACTGGGGTTTTTGTAAAGAAAAAAGATAAAAACAGCATATTGTACTTCTGAGGTTATCAAAATAGGATTAGGTAAACATACAATAAATTGTTAAAAAAAACTCCCTGAAGCAGGTCAATAGGTCAACATAATTTATGTTTCATCATAGGAAGAAGAAGAGTGAGAAACACAGGGAGGGATCGGGAAGCATTCTTCCATTATCAGATGCAATGAAAGATTTTCAGATAGCAGGAACATCACAAAAACTTATTCTTTCAAGGCCTCTATAGGAACAAGAATTTTAGGATAAAACAAAAATCTTTATCCAACTGGAGGTTATAAGCCCTCTGGTCCTGAGGCTTGCTTCACATCCTGCTGCACCGAGGAGGGGCTGGAAGGAACAACACACACACACACATCTGGAAAAGGGCAATTCTGAACTGCAAACCAGAGCTCATGACTGCTCCTAGAAGGATTTTGAGTCACAGACTGAGTCTTGGGAATATATCCACAAAAATCACAACAGATACCTTGATCAAGGTCAAAAATGAGACACAGAAGCGATATTAGAAGAGAAATTGAAGTACAGGAACACATAGTTCATGTTAGGGTATTATAAGCACCCTTGAAAATAAAGAGGAAGTCTTGGAGCAGATGAAAACAAAGAGAGGGAAAATAAAGGATAAAATTAAGGGGGACAGCAAAATAATATCCAAAAACTCCACCAAGAGGAAATTTTTTAAATATCCAAATGAGAAATTTACTACAAGGTCATTCATTTACTTGTGCACCACAAAGAAGGATAATGAACAGAAAGATACCAAGAATCTACAAGGGCAAAAAAAGCAGAAGATAAAAGAAGATAAAAAAGGTACACAGGACAGAGTAAACTTTGAGGGGGTAACTATCTTGTCTTGTGACTTGTGGATGGCTTGTGAAACTGTCTAAAGCATTGCTAAAGTCCAAATACACATACACCTATTTCTCTTTTATCCTCAAGTGCCAGACATCCCTCCAATTGAGTATTTCTTTATTAATACAGCTTACCTCTTTTGGACACTGATTTTTGCAGGAAGTAAGAAGATCCCTTTCTTTTACGTCAGCACAAGTTAGTTTTCTACAAAAAAACACATGTATTTCTGATAAATTCCAAATTAAAACCAACACAAATCAATTTAGTTGGGATGCATTTTAGGTATTCATGCCTGTAAAGAAAAATATGACCCACATACTGTGGAACTAACAATACCAGGTCTCTATCAAACAAGAGCACAAAATTAAGAGGTTATGAAACACTTTAAGGAGAACATAAAGGGCATGTAAGAGCTGAATGACTTTTTTCAGAGTAGTATGCATAGAATGGACAAAATACCTAATTCATCTTACATTTAGTAAAAGCTAGCACCTCTGTGCCCATCCTCCAACAATTAAAAAGAGGCACAAATGCTTATAAACATGTTTTCTAATTTAAAAAAAGAAAAAAAAAAGAAAGAAACTAAAGGACACTTCATATTTCAGAACTCCATTTTTGGTAAGTTTTAAAGATATAAGGTAGTCTTAAAGTTTTTTTTTTACCCTAACTGCATTTATTCTAATTCTTGTTATGAAATTCTTCCTTACACACTACAAAATAATTACATATAGATTAATTATATTATACAGATTACTACAGATCTACATACTTGAACATATTACTATATTCTAAAAAAAAAATTACAAAAACTGTTCGGTGAAAAACAGAATCCATGCACTTTAACAGTTTTAGTGATAATACCATGTGGAACACTGACAAATTAAATAAAAATATAATATAGGATAAATTATAATCTTCAAAGAAAAAATGCTATGACTTGCCATCAGGGTTACTCCCATCACTAGACATTTCACATGGTTTCCAATTAGTCATACTTGTCAGAACAGAACCCAACTCATTGTCTACTTACAAGCATTCGATATACAGTATTGACAGTTTGCAGTGACACTTTATTTTAAGCATCTGAAGGCATGAAGGGCAATCCCCAGGATGACAGGGCAAAACACATCGGTGAGGACAGCCAGAGGGCCGTGGCTTGGTACACTCCTCTTCACACTGCAAACACTCTGGACCTGCCTAACAAAATACAAACAAATTACTAAAAGTGC